CAGATCACAATGGGCCTGGAATGTCCAGCTAAGGAAGTTGGATTTATCACTGTAGGCAATGAAAGTGCTGAGGCAGGGAAGTGATGTGTGTAGAGTGGCACTTTAGAAAGCTCAATCTAGCTGTAATGTAAAAGACACACTGAAGGGTAAGAACAGAAGGCAGTGAATTCCTTTAACCATGGCAACACTCTAGTGAGATGGTCGGGGCCCAGTGAAGCTGACTATGACCCTGGCAGGAAATGATTAATTTGATAACATAATGCAGAGGATGAAGCCAACTCATCTCCAAATTCTGATGATACTTCCTCCCTAATTAACACTCAACTACTTTCCATCTCTTCTTCATGTGCTCAAATATCCACAGCGACAGTAGGTGCCTAAAGCATGATATGCTCTCTACCCTCTGGTTCTGCCCCAAAATGCTGCCAGGTTGACCTTTTAAAAACACAAATAAAAATATTGCTGTTCTCTAGCTTGAAAGTCTCCAGTGGCTCTATTAGCATTATATATAACACGATGTAAACTCTAAGCCAGCCTCAAGGGCTTCAGCCCTTCCTGTCTCCATTTCCAGCTCATACTATTCTTTTTCCTGCTCTCTTAGTTCAAGCAACATTGCTCCAGAAAATTGCTCTAATTTTATTGAACACGTTACCCTTTTCCCAAAATAGAATCTTGTTCTAAACTAGTTCCCCTCTTTAAATTGCTCCTTTCTCTATCTTTTGCCAGGATAACTTCCCATGCTTTTCAATGTGGCTTATATTCCATGTGAATGTAATGTTAGTCCCCCTGTAAGCCTGTAAAGAAACAATATTTTAAAGGTCACTAAATAATTCAGAAATTGTGTTATGGTAACATTTCTAAATAAAGGAATTCTTTTCTGAATTATTATGTTTTGTTACTGAAATTCAATCACATTTTTTAACTTCCTTTTTAAAATTGTAGTTTTATTTACCACTTCAACTATATTTAGGTATACAGTTTAGGGGTATAAAGTACATTTAACTGCTGAAAAACTATCACCTAACTCCAGAGCTCATTTCTTTTCCCAAACTGAAACTTTACCCAGTAAACACTAACCCCTCACCATTTCTCCTCTCCTGAGACCAGCATCTATGAATTGGCTACTCCAGTTATCACATATTAGCGGAATCACACAGTATTCGTTCTTTTATGATTGACTTATTTCATTTTTCATAATGTCTTCCAGGTTGACCCATGTTGTAACTTGTGTTAGAATTCTCTTCTTCTTCTTTTTTTTTTTTTTTTGAGATGGAGTTTCGCTCTTGTTACCCAGGCTGGCATGCAATGGCACGATCTCGGCTCACCACAACCTCTGCCCCCTGGGTTCAAGCTATTCTCCTGCCTCAGCCTCCCTAGTAGCTGGGACTATAGGCCTATGCCACCATGCCCAGCTAATTTTTGTATTTTTAGTAGAGACGGGGTTTCATGATGTTGACCAGGATGGTCTCGATCTCTTGACCCCGTGATCCACCCGCCTCAGCCTCCCAAAGTGCTGGGATTATAGGCGTGAGCCACTGCGCCCAGCTCTCTTCCTCTTTAAGTATGGATCATATTCCATTGTATGTATATACCATTTTTTGTTTATCCATCTATTGATGAACAAGGGTGTTGTTGTCACTTTGAGACTATTGTGAATAATGCTGCTATGAACACAGGTGTATCTATTCAAGTTCCTAATTACGTTTTTAGGGGGGATATAACTAGAAGTGGAATTGCAGGAGCCTATGATAATTCTAAGGTTAATGTTTTGAGGAATTGCTAAACTATTTTCTGCAATGGCTGTACCATTTTACATTCCTGCCAGCAGTGCACAATGGATCCAGTTTCTCCACCTTCTCTTTAATACTTGTTTTCCTCTTTTTTAGTAGCCATCCTAATGAATGTGGAGCCCATATCACATTTGTAACACAGTTATAAATTTAGGAATTAGAAGGACTGTAATCTCATTTAGTCCTAGTCTCTTATCTTCCAGAAGAAGCTGAAATCCAGAATGTTAAGTGACTTATCCTATGTCACATATCAGAATGGGGCTAGAAGCAGGTCTTTTTCTTGCCAATGTTTCATGGAGTCTCTTAGATATTGTACACAAGAGTAGGGGAAAAAAGCCCCTAAGCATTAGACTTAGGAATACATCAGAGCTGAAATAAAGTCATATGTGAAATTGAGATAGCAGTCCGACTTTGCACTCTCCTACCTTAGAAAGTTAGACTGGCACAGAAAAATTGGTGAACCTCCAGAGCTTCAGTTCCCTGATCTATCAGATGCAGATAATAATACTTGCCTTGTAGAAATTTTGAAAAGATTAAATTAAATTATTCAGGATCTTATATAGTCCTGAAGCTATTTCAACGTTGAAAAGATATTAATTTTCCTTCCACCCCAACATCTAGCATAATTTGGGATACATGTTAGGTGCTAAACCAGAACTCTGACAACAGGATCTAAAACTGCTTTAGTCTTCAGATTTCTTCTGGCAATTTCTTTCCAATTTAGGGTGGGTGCTAACAAAAGGTCAGAGGAACAACAGAAGCAGATGGTCTTCCTGAAGCGTGTGCCAAAAGGATTTGTGAGTGTCTTGGGGTGACGTCTCCACCCATTGCACAGCTTAGAGGCTCAAGGGCAGATCCCCAACATTGTACTGGTCCCTTCCTGAGCACTCCCTGGTGCAGACTCCAAGTCTGACAAGGAAAATGTGCTGTGATCATCCTACGGGGGACAGAGCAGCTGCTCCAAGGTGGAGTCTATTGTCAAGGTTCTCCTGGTAACAAAAAGAGGAAAAGGTCTATCAAAGCATTTCCTGCCCGCGGGAGCCATGTGCTTCCATTAATTCTTTTCCCTGAGTCAGTCTGTCTCCCTCAGCTCATGTCTCTCCATGTCCACTGTCCCAGGAAAAAGAAAAGGCATTTTTAGCAGCTGATTTAAAAACCTTTCCACAATGTGAGGTTAACAAGAGGAGTAAGCTCAGATATTCAGTGACGTGCACCTATGCATTTCATAAGGAAACTGGCACTAAAAAAGGGTTTTGGGCAGTTACAATTTTTCAGAAATCTGCTTATGCCCTTCAACTGCTTTGGCCATGGGTACCTGAGGATAAGAGTGACGTCTTTGCTATCCTTGCACCATCAAGAAATCATAGAAAAACAACCATGAATATTCTCTTAATATTACACTGATAGCATTCACACCTTATAGAAGAAATTAGCTAGTGATGAGATTGAGTAAAACAGTATTTCTAAATGAGTGACTGAGTTCGGTGAATCAAATTTGCTAGCCATGGGAGTCAGTAAAAATATATCTCTAAATGAGTGACTGAGTTTCATGAACTAATCTGAATCTCAGCTCAGGAAAGAAGGCCTGGAGTGTGACTCTCATGAATAAGGTACAATGTGGTCACTTATAGTGCATGCTGTTCCAGAAAAGATATTGCCACAAAGAGAGGATGGTGAGCATGGTGTCTACTAACAGAGCAGAGAGAAAGATAGAATTTGACAAATGCCTGTCCAGCAGTGTTATGATGAAAGCCCCTAAGTGCTAATATGGAAGATTGCAAAAAACGATGGAAGAGAATCAAGATACCCTGGCCAACGACCTGTCAATTGAACAGGCGAGTGAAGTCATCCTGTGTCACTCAGCCACCACCTGACCACAGATGCCTGAGAGAGCGCAGCAGGCTATCACTGAGTTGGCCCAGGCCAGAAGAACCTGAGCTGACCCACAGAATCATAAGTTAAATTGAATGCTTGTCATTTGAAGTCACTAAGTATTGAGGCAGCTCGTTATGTAGCAAAAGGTAAATATAGTGGTCAGTGGCTAAGAGCTCTCTGCTGTGAAGTTAATCCTTCAAACCTTGCCACAGTCAGGGAGAAATTGTCCTTAAGACTCTAGGTTTTGCTTGGCTTTCACTTATAATTTGTCCTCCTCCTTGGCACTTAAAAAATGAATAAATTAATGGGTTTATTTATTTATTTATTATGCTTTGAGACACGGTCTCACTCTGTCACCCAGGCTGGAGTGCAGTGACATGGTCCTGGCTCACTGCAGCCTCCAATTCCTGGGCTCAAGCAATCCTCCTATCTCAGCCCTGCAAGTACCTGGGACCACAGGCAGGTGGCACCACAACTGGCTGATTTTAAGTTATTTTTGTAGAGATGAAGTCTTGCTATGTTACCCATGTTGGTCTTAAACTCTCGGACTCAAGAAATCCTCCCACCTTGGCATCCCAGAGTGCTGAGGTTACAAGTGTGAGCTACCAAGCCAGGTCCTTGTTTATATGGCAGGCTGTGAATTGAGCTGGCATGAGTAAGTCTTCCCATCTCTCAAGCATGGTGCCCAGAGTATTGAATTTCTGGTGTCTCTTAGCTGAAGAGCAGAGTTTTGAGGGGTTATGCCTCTGGCATGCACCTGTCCTGCCCAAGCAACCAGCTCTGTCTTATTTGTATAGAATTTTTACAAATCTAACAGCAAAAATCAGTCCCTAAAATTGAAAGAGAAAAATTTAATAGTTTTTTATATCCATTTTTTAAAAAGGTATAAAGAAATAGTAACTGAAATACATATGAAATCTGTTCAATATATATAGAATCCCGGTGTTTTGTCCCTCAAGGATACGGAGAGTCCACATACCAGGCTAGATAATCATTGAAGAATCCCAAGCCTCTGGCCTCTTTGATCCTGTAAACAAGGTGAAGATGTAGGTATCTTCATCTTCCAAATATATGTAGAATGAAATGGCAACACTAGCTTATGCCTGCTCAGTGTGATCATGTGATCATTAGCAATGTCAAGTTGAAAACCAGACACTCAGATTGTTATTTTGGCTGCATCGTATCCCACCCTTGCTTGACTAGTTTATTTTAGTCAATTTATTTAATTACTTTTCAGTGTCAGAGTAATAGATATGATATACACTTAGTGATTTTTTTTTCAAATTGAAATTTGATAATAACCAATGGCATTTGATCTCTAACAACATCTTGCAGGACTCTATTCCACCAAGATTCACACACTTCTCAGGCGCAGATTATGAAGCCCTCTAAAGCCATTCTATTCATACCGAAATTCTTACTATATAAGGTAAGATGGATAGAATTACTTTTGTGACCATAGCCTTTTTCCTTGTATATCACTGGAGTTTTTAAACCTTCCCAGCATTTCTCCCTTCCCTTCTTTCACTCACCAAACGAAATGCCCAAGCTGTGACATATGACTCTGAAGCTGGAAGGAGAATAAGAGAAAACCATATGAGAACTTGTTCCCTTCCACTTAACATATGAAGCCATTCCTGTATAATGAAAAGCAAACAGAGTTTTAGTGGCAGAAATGCGCCATTGCACAATGCCATTTTGACATGGCTCTTTCGGCAGGAACTGTGGTTCACCCCTGGGTTCAGCTACGTAATTGCTAATGGAACACTGTTGACTGAGCTCTCCTTCAAGATGCTGAAGAGACAAAAAGGATGCAGATGTTGACTCCAGAGGTTAATAAGCAAATACCTATTTTTAAGTGATATGTGTGGGTTCATATTCAAAAACACTTACGAGGTACCTACCCCACACTAGAGTCTGTACGAGAAGCTTTGTAGCATTCAACCATGAGCAAAGTGCCGTCCTGGAACCCAGTGACCTTACTGACAGATATCGTATTTAACTTGTGGATGTTTCCACATGTTGCCTTACGTTATGCTTACAATAAGCACGAGAAATAATTACAAAAGATGTTATGAACTGAACTCTGTCCCCCCAACCAAAATATACATGTTGCAATCTTGATCCCCAGCATTTCAAAGTGCAACTGCATTTAGAGATAGGGCCTTGAAAAGAGGTAGGTTGCACTAAGGTCTTTAAAGTTGGACCTCTTTCAATATAACTAGCATCCCTATAAGAAGAGGAGATTAGGATACAGACACACACAGAGAGAGGACCACGTGAAGATGCAGGGAGAAGATGGCCATGTACAAGCCAAGAAGAAACAAACCCAGCTGACAGCCTGATCTCGAACTTTCCCCTGCAGACTGCGAAGAGGTAAGTTTCTGTTGTTTAAGCCACCCGATTGGTGGCATCCTGTTACAGAAGCGTTAGTAAACTAATACAGAAGGTATTGTTACCCTATTTTATGTTAAATCCCTATTTTAATGTTAAAGTGAGGTTGTGAAACATTAAGTAATTTACTCAAAATTTACACATACCTCACAAATGGCTGAGACAGGATTAGAATGCAGGTCTTCATAAGCCCTATAAACTGCTCTCTTATCTTTCTACTGCCTCCCACACTGTAACACACATGGAACTATCCCACTAACAGGCAAGACCAGGGCTGGGAAAAAATCAAGATGTTCTTCTTCAGTCAACTACCTTTGGTTGTTTTCTTCCTTACCGATTTCAGATGCTTCCTATCCTTGGCTTCAATCTTTCTGTTCTTCTGCTACTCTCCCTTTATGATTAAAACCACATGATCTCAGTGGAAGATATTTGCTGTCAGGAAGTAAGTTAAATGCTGGTATTCTAGTTCATAAAAGTGACTGCTAGTGATAAGTACTACTTGATAGGGTCTTGCTCTGTTGCCCAGGCTGGAGTGCAGTGGTTCAATCACAGCTCACTGCAGCTTCGACCTCCCAGGCTCAAGGACTTGCCTCAGCCTCATGAGTAGCTGGGACTACGCACACGCCACCATGCTTGTATTTTTTTGTAGACAGTTTTGTCATGTTGCTCTGGCTGGTCTTGAACTCCTGGGCTCAAGTGATCCTCCTGCCTTAGCCTCCCAAAGTGCTGGGATTACAGGTGTGAGCAATCATGCCCAGCCTAATTCTTACTGTCTAAAAGACAAACTTGTCTGGACTAAGAAATGAATCTCTGTAATAGCAGGCAAGTGGTAAATATATTTAGGGGGAGACAGCCCTTACATTCTTTGGAAAAACGTATTTTAATTGCTGGAACTGTATGCTTTATGGGAACCTGATGGGAGTTAGAAAATTATGTGATCATTGTGAGTTGGTAAGATTTCTTAAAACAAATAAAATTTAGAGCCAAATCAAAATAATGGTATTATCTGAATTAGAGATAATAGGAATAAGGTATTCCACAATAAAGTCCTAGTCACATTTTGCTATAATTGTTCAGTCCCAAAGGTATTGAGGCCTGCAATATACTTGGGGAAACATGGATGAATTGAAGTGAGCCATGTCCTCACACTGTGCACAGTCGGTGACTTTAATCTAGGTCAGCACTTCTCAATATGACTGAGCAGCAAAATCACCTGGGGAGTGATTGAAGCATGGAGCTAGCAGGTGCCCAGCCCCAGAAACTCTGAGTCATTAAGTCCAAAGGCCTGGATTTTTAAATGTCCCCAAGGAGACTGTGATAAGAGTAGGCTTGGAGACAATTTCACTGCCCTAGGAATTCTGCAACGTCAGGGGAAGACAGTCCTCAGACACAGCATTTCAGATACTGTGGCTGCCAGCACTCTTCAGGATCACGGGGCTTCTCTCAGATGATAAAACCTGGGCATAAACAATAAACATAGACAAATTGCAAAAACACTAAAAGGAAAGGTAGTGATAAGAAACAGAAGCTTTCTTTCTGGTCAAACATACATTTATCAGGGTAGATAAATATCAGATTGAAATTCAAGAAAGAAAAATACCTGAGACTGGGTAATTTATAAACAAAAGTGGTTTAATTGACTCATAGTTCCACATGGCTGGGGGTGGGGGGCTCAGAAAACTTACAATCATGGCCAAAGGTGAAAGAGAAGCAAGGCACGTCTTACATAGTGGCAGGAGAGAGAGAGCCCAGGGGAAACTGCCACTTTTCAACCACCAGCTCTCATGAAAACTCTCTCACGCTCACAAGAACAGCACTGAGGAAACCATCTCCATGATCCAATCGCCTTCCACCAGGACCTTCCCTCAACACATGGGGATTATGATTCAGGAGGAGATTTGGGTGGGGACACAGAGCCAAACTGTATCAGTATCATTTTCAATTAATGACAGAATTAATATGCTAAGACAAATTCTAACTAATGCCATGAAATCAAATCCTCTTTCTTGGTCTTTATAGTACAAAGTGCTACCAACAGAAGAGCCAATGTAACCTAAGAAATGGTTCCGTATCTCTCGTGTTTTTAGCTGACTGTGGAGCTTTGTAAAAATACCTAGTACTAAAGACAATGCCTGGAGAGTCTGGGACCAAGAATCTCTATTTTTAAAACTTTACAGATGAATTCAATTCTCACCAACAGTGGGGATTGTCTCAGTGACTCTGTCATTGCTTGGCTATGGAAAAGATAGTCAAAATAATGAAAGCCAGCCCTGGCAGAGTCACCAGCCAACCAGAACGGGGGTAGCCTATTAAAAAGGACAGATGCATCTACAAAAAGTAATTTTCCTCACATTGTGACTTCAGCAACCACTGACTAAAGATGAAAAGTTTTAAATTAGACCTTTATCAGACTTAAGAGAAATTCCTGTCATATGTGGAATACCAACTGATCCAGAAAAAAATCCTGTGGCACAGTTGCTATTTCCCATTGATGTAGAATGTAAAAGCTGATAAAGGTCACAGACATCATCCATCTGGTCTAGCTGCTTTTTTTTTTTCTTACAGATGAAACCCAGAGATATAAAAGGAATTTGTCTAAGGCAGAGTCGGGGAAAAAACCCAGAATTCCAGGCTCAGTCTGGTATTGTTTGGTCAACACGATGCTATTGTCCACAGATGAAGAAACAAAAGCTCAGGGAAGAAAACTGATATGTTCCTATAGGACTATGTATCTGTAGTATGTGCATGAGTGTGTGCGTGTGTATGTGAACATGTGTGCATATTGTGTGCATGTGTCTGCACTTGTGTGCATGTGTGTGTACACGTGTGTGTACGTGTGTGCATGTGCATATGTGTACATATGTGTGTGCATGTGCATGCACTTGTCTGCATATGTCTGTGTGCATATGTATGTGCATGCTTGCGTGTATAAGAAGTAGGGAGGGGAGAAAGCAGCTATCCTTAAAATCTTCTGATTACTCATTCAGTTTTAATTTAAAAAAAAACTGCTAACCCTTATTGGGACAGAATGCTTACTTCCAAAAGCTCTGTAACATAGTTTGCCAATACTTAGCTGAACCATATCCACTGTCAATGTGTATGGACGTTGAAATAGAACACATTTGCATTACCCATGATAATCACTTAAAATATCTGGAAACTGTTTGCAGAAGAGTTTTTCAAGTAAAAAAAGAGCTTATACCATTTATTTATAATACTTGTTAAATAATAAGACTCATTCTAGGTATCAGGCATAGTCACAATTTCTTACATTTTCAATTAGGTAATGTATTTTCTGTTTCTACGATCTGGGCTCACAAAGCTTTTCTTCATAATCTTTTACTTCTGTTTAATCTTCAGCTGCACATTGCTGCCCATTGTTATTGAACTCGAGTCCTGTGTAGCTTTTCATTCAGTACACCAACTACGAGGCTACAGACTTCGGCAGAATCTGACCAAGTTCAACTGCTTGATGGTGGATTACTTTCCAAGCTATTAACCATATCTTTTCCTAAGCCCCACTACACAGTAGCTAGACAGTAAATGTTACTTATCTATTTAAAGATCTTAATGTTTCTCTTTTACCTTCAAAATAAAATTAATACTTAAAATTGTCATTTAAGACCCAGGTGCCTTTCTTTTTTTCTTTTATCTCTCTCTCTCTTTTTTTTTTTTTTTGTGACTGAATCTTGCTCTATAGTCCAGGCTTGAGGACAGTGGCACCATCTCGGCACACTGCAACCTCCGCCTCCTAGGTTCAAGTGATTCTGGTGCCTCAGTCTCTCAAGTGGCTGCGATTACAGGCATGCACCACCATACCCTGCTAATTTTTGTATTTTAAGTAGAGACAGGGTTACACCATGTTGGACAGGCTGGTCTTGAACTCCTGACCTCAAATGATAGGCTCACCTTGGCCTCCCAAAGTGCCCACCTCAGCCTCCTAAAATGCTGAAATTACAGTCATGAACCACTGCACCTGGTCCCATCTGCCTTTCTAAATATTACCTGGGAATGCCTAGGCCCTTGGTCATACTGAACTGCCTGGAAATTCTCAAACATTCTTTCCTGCCTCCTTGTCTTTGCAAATGCCATAGCATCGGCTAAAACAATTTTTTTTCTCTCTACTCCCCCAACTCCGACTTTCAAATATGGAAAATTCTCTGTGGAATTTTCTATGGTCTCCTCCAACTGGGTTAGACCTCCTTCAATTCTCCCACTACTCCCCAAACACACACTCAGACATACAGACACACAAATGTGTGCGTGCGCGCACGCACACACACACACACACACACGAACACACACACACAGTTTCTGCCTTATGCTTCCAAAGAGTTCTGTCTAAATTCCCATCACACTTCTCACGGTATGATATCCCTTTTAAAAACATTTTCTGTTCTTCTGATATGGAGAACGACAATCCATTCTGGCCTTAGTGGCTCCTACCTATGAGTGCTTACTATATTTTTGTTGCATGAATAGGTAAGATACTAATGCTTCCCCCCAACATATCCCCAAGGTGTGAGGGCAGGGGTTTACCAAATAATCTGTTATGCTGGGAATCCAAACAGGCTGTGCTGATAAACCCTCATATGGAGTACAGAAGGGTCACTGAAATACTCTGAAGAAACATACAATCCCCAGACCATGGCTTCATTATTAGTTTAGTAACAGATGAGACTTTCCATGGAAATGTCAATTGCATACCCTGATTAGCCTCTGATGATGAGAAAAATATAGTCAATCATACCCCCTGGACTTATTTCACAAAAAACCTATCATCTGCTGGATAAACCCTCTTTTGCTGCGAGCCAGGTGATGAACTGAGTGAATAAAATATTGAATCCATGGTTTCTGAGCTCCTTCAATGAACAAACTAAAACCCAACACCTCGACTGACCAGAAGAGAGCTTACGTGTGGCCTCGTGTTCCAAGGTGCTAATACAAGTGTTATTTTAACTGCAGACTTGAAAGGCTATATCTAAGCACATCCTTGATACAATGAAAACTATTAAACTAAGACACTTTCCGCATGTAGTAAGTGTAATAGATAAATAGACAAACATACCCAGATCAGATTAAAGTGATGCTTCAGAGGCCAGGCCTTCCCGTCTTCAGGACGGACTAACATGGAAGTAATTGTCACTTAAAAGAGAAAGAGAAACTTGGTTTCTCCTAGAGACCCAGTATATCCTAGTGGCTAGGAATGAAGGCCAGAGTTCCCGGATTTGATTTCTGGAGTTATTAGCTGTGTGTCATTGACCAAGTTACTGCACCTCTCTGTGCTTCGGTTTTATTACTTCATTACACACACACCCACACACCCACACACCCTTAGCTCCTACATCATGGCACTAATTAAGTGATGTATTAATAATACACAAAAAAACCCACTTTAGAAAATTGACTAATAGTAAACAGTGAAAGTTTACAGTGATCTAACGATACAAGTATGATTAATGAGCTATTCTTTGATGCTTTTATTTCTTTAATTACAGTGAGATGTCCCAAGATATATTTGCTTATCCTTGTGCCATAGATAAACTTCTGAACTGAACTAATTCCCCCTGTTCTAATGATGCTTGTTTTCACCTCACATTAAATAACAAATGTATTATGAAACTAAAGATCATCCTGAAGCAATTACATTGATTCCAACTTTTGTTCTCCACAAACGGAAAGGACAACATGTTTGTGATAATCGACTGCAAGTGTATTTATTCTCCACACCATTGTGGGTTGCATCCAAATTGCGTTTTAATTCGTTTCCCATGTTACAGCCTTGAAATCAGAAAATAACATAATATACTGCAGGAAAACAATTTAATGCATGCTAATGTGAAAAGAGGAGAAAGTATACTTTGTACTCTATTGAAAACAACCGTGGTAGAGTAAATAGTTACTGGGTATGTATAATACACTTAACACTTGAACTGTGTTTAGCATCCAAGATATGCTTCAATTTTTGATTAGAAAATAAAAATTTTCACTGACAGGCCCTATCAGGGGGATAAAATTATTTCTAGCACACGCAGTGAACATTAAGACAGCTCAGTTCAGAAGGATGGGAAACTAGGGTGGTGGAGCAGAGGGCCTCTTTATAGCCTTGCCATCCACACTCTTGTGACACCAGCACAGGGAAAATGAAACAGGGAAAATTTCTGTGGAATTTTCTAGGATGTCCCCAGGCTGGGTTCGGCTTCCTCCAATTCTCCTGCTACTTTCCAAACCCTTCTTTTGTTTATAACTTTTTTTTGGAGTTATAGCTGTCTTTACAAATCTCGTGAAAATTATCAATATTCCTCCTAGAAAAATGCGCACGTGCACACACACACACACACACACACACACACACAAAATTTTGAATATTAATTCATGATCTTCCTGAATGCTCTCTTGGAAAGAACTCCTTTTTAATAAAGTGATTTGTATTATCTTCAGTGAATGAGTACATTAATATTTGAATATAGATTTTGCCATTTGGTTTTCTTTCTGGAAACATAGTATTTGTAACCTGACTTGTGACCCTCCCAGCAGCTTTGAGGTAGTTCACTAGCTTTGTTTTACTGTGATCAGCATGTTGAAAAACCCCGTAGGTGTTTCTAAAATGTTTAACTTCTGGAAAAATTTTATTTCTTTTTGTTAGGAACGCATAGCATGCATTTATGTATGCTGTCCTAGAAATACTGTATTATAATTTTAATTATATGGGAAATAACCAACATAATATTGTTTCTATATTTGTTCATATTAAACAAACGGTAGTAATATACAGAATCTTGGTATCATTCAGACTCTAAACGCAAAGCATATTGCTTGGGAGAAATACATGTAAGCATGTACATAGCTACTACAGTCATGGAAAAAATGTTTCAAAAGTATAAGGAGAAAGCCTTTTAAAATTCATCCTCAGTGGATACAGAAATAGCAATGCCAATGAGTCAATCTATGAATTTCTGTATCTATATCTTATATTTTAATATTGGGCAGAGAAACTTCCCAGATATTTGATGCAAGAATTTGTTTTGAAAAAGTTTGGTAATTAATATAAAGCTACTCTAAAGCTATCTTTTATTGGTAGAGACACATCTTTAGAGAAGTTTGTAATTATCAACATTTACCATCTTATTTTTTACTTTGAGACCAATCATCACAACCCCAAAGCCAAAAGTTTATAATAATTTATTATTATTGCATGACATTTGCAGTAAAATAAATTATAGAAACCATAGCCTCTTTATAAACTATTTAGTATATCAAATTCACTTCCTAATGCTTACTGCAGTAACTGTATGAACTTTAATTAGATTACGTTTTAGCATTAGTCAGATTTTTAAAAATTATACAACGTTTTCACAGTCCTGTGGATTTATAAAAGACCCCATTATTTTAACATTTGTGCAACCTGTTTGAAATGTATAAAAATCCTTTTACAAACCAAAAGGTGGCAAATGGTTTTACTGAGCTGCTGAAGGCCTCTTACTTTCTTGAATTTGTACTTAAATCCACGTGATGCACTTTTTCAGGCATTGTATTAGGTGCAAATAAATAATCAATTATTGATCTCTAAAAATCTATACCAATAGACAACATTCAGGCTTGGTGACACTTTCAACACTCAGATATAAACATTCAGTAAACGATTTATGCATAGAATTCTCTCTCCTGTCCTCCCTCTCTCTCCTCCCTCCCCCTACTTATTTGGTTAAAAAAAAAGTTCCTCTTAAATTTAAGTCCTAGGGCCTGACACAGTGACCCTGGATCTATGTCATCTCCAGCCATCTGTTCTCTTTGGTTCTCATTACATCTGCCCAGGCTCATATCTGCGTCGATCCTTTCCTGCAGGGACAGGAGAGTTTTCAAATCCTTGCTGAAAGCATTTTGTCCTCCACGGTAACAGCACAGGCGTGAAATTGTTTGGAGTCTCTGTAACCAGTTTGTTCAGTCCTGGTCCCTTTCCAGTCCCGGTCCCTTTCCAGTCCTGGTCCCTTTCCAGCCTCTGGAGTCCTAACAGAAGAGAAGCTTGCAAGGTAGCAGCAAAACTGCTGCATCTGTGAGAATCTCACAAACTCACTCGGTCTTTGAATGTCCATTCTTGGATAACGTCCTTATCCATTCTGTTGTCCTCAGTGAACTTTGATAGAATATTTCCGCAGTTTCAGAAACTGGAAAAGCTTGTCTTTTGTCCTCTTCTTCAAGGCCATCAGGGCGCGTGTTTTCTCCTCCACATCTTGATCTATGGCAAATATGATCTTAGCTCTCTCCTCTGCTTTCTTGTCTCCAGAGTTTCTAAAGAGCCTTTGCAGTGATTCTTGGTCTATGTTTTCAAAGATGTTGCCCACGGCTTTCTTACGAGAGGCTGTGTCGAAGTGGTAGCCGTGGATGGACGGGCTGACTCGTAGCGACGTGGACATAATGATGGCTTGGTGGCTTCGCTTTGCTTTCATCGACGTGGGGATCTTCCGGAATTCAGCTCCCAGGCTTTCCAGAGAGTCTGTAGTGAAATCATTCTGGGACTGCTATTTAAAGTGTGAACAAAAGCTCCAGGCTCAAATTACACTGGTGACATCAGAGTGATCTCAATGAAGAATAATCACAGAAAGTCTTAACAGTTGAGTTGCCAACATCCTGTTCTAGTGTAAAATGTTACTAAAAGCTGTGTCCACTGATTAGGGGCAGGGCTGTGAGTATTCATTTTACTTCACATGTGGCAGTAGGATAATACAGATCTGGGCCTTCCTTTAAGAAAGAAGCTGAAGACAGGAAAATACAAAGATATGACATAAACAAGATCGCGTAGACTCTGAAATCTTCACAAACCACAATGAAGACAAGGGGTTCTGCTAACCACAGAGAAGCTTTTATTCCCAGACAAGTAATTAAAGTGCAGGGCAAACATTTGGCGTCCACATCAGCGCCCTTTGGACATTCCTATCAGGGGCAACTCCAGAGCTATTGAGAGAAAGCTGAGCAAATGATTTGGGGTGTGTTCAGTTGTAGAATGGGATTTTTCGTGCAAAAGGCTGACATGACACAGCCTGAAAAGATGGCTTTTCAGACATGGTGCACTAGTGCTAATCTGCAGTCATTGAAGACAATTGTCACCTGAGGATAGTGATAATAGGAATAATCCAGGGTATCTCCTTAGGCTTGTGTATACGTCCACAACAATAGCTACCGAAAGCCAGCAGGAAAAGTTAAACAAGTGTTTTACCTGCGCGGTGCCCAAAAGGAATGAATTGATCTTTTGTTTGCAAATTTATTTTGGCATTTCCCAGACATAGAGTAATAACTTCTTTGGAAGAATATAAACGTGTTCTTCCTGCCTTCCACAATATTCAAGCCAGCCAGTGTCCCCGCTGACGTATGGAGTTGTCATACGCTAACTGTGAGCTTCAAAAGGTGCTGGAGACTTGGAGATCTTACGTCTGGTCCACTTTCTAGTCCTTTAAGAAGCAGGACAGGTCCTGTTTCCTTCTTTTTATCTAGTCAAGTAAGTCCAGAAAGTACATAAAGGGAGACACATTAAGGAAGATACCTCACTAGAAAATTGAGTTATAGACTCTCCTTGTATATTCATTCACTCACTCATTTATCCACTTATTTATTTAATCAATATTTATTAAAGCTGTGTTATTAGCCAGAACTTTTCAAGGCATTGGAAATAAAACAGTAAAACAAACAGAACCAACCAAACCAGACCATGCAAAACCCCCACCTTTATTTTATTGTATTTTTTTGAGACGGAGTTTCTCTCTTGTTACCCAGGCTGGAGTGCAATGGCAAGATCTCGGCTCACAGCAACCTCTGCCTCCTGGGTTCAGGCAATTCTCCTGCCTCAACCTACTGAGTAGCTGGGATTACAGGCACGCGCCACCACACCCAGCTAATTTTTTGTATTTTTAGTAGAGACGGGGTTTCACCATGTTGACCAGGATGGTCTCGATCTCTTGACCTCGTGATCCACCCGCCTCGGCCTCCCAAAGTGCTGGAATTACAGGCGTGAGCCACCACACCTGGCCCAAAAACCCCTTTTTTAACCTTAACGAAGTTTATGTTCTACTGGGAAATAGACCATAGAAACATGTACATTTATAACATATTTGATGTCAGAAAGTAATGAATGCTATGAGTGAAAATGAAGGAGGCTTGTACAGGAGTGGAAGGAGAGGGCTGAGATTCTCCTAGGATATTCAGGCACAGCTTCTCGTAATGAGACATTGTGCAAAGATTTAAAAGAGGCGAGGGATGCAGCCAGCTGTATGGCTATCCATAGGAAGGGGGCTGTGGGCAGAGGAGCAAATGCAGAGGGTTGAAGAGTGTGCAAGGGGTGTATGGAGAACAGCCAGGGACCCGTGTGGTCAGAGAAGAGTGAGCAGGGCAGAGTGGGTGGAGATGAGGTAAGGGTGAGTAGGCAGTGGGAAGAGGGCAGGAGCAGGATGTGTGCAGCCTCACAGGCTTTGATTGTGGATTTAGTTCTTACTCTGTAGGAGACAGGTAGGCTTTGGAGAATTTGGAGCAGAGAAATAACATGTTTTTCCTTATCGTTTTAAAAGATCACAGTCACTTCTTAGAAAAGAATAGGTTTCAAGGAGACAAGTGGGGAGTGGGGGGCAAGAAGACTCGTCAGGAAATGTTGAAATAATCCAGGAAAGAGAGGATGAAGGCTTCTGGGGGGGGGGATGTGGAGGTAGTGAGAACTGATCCAATTCTGGCATATTGGGAAGGTAAAGCCAGGAGGATTGCTGAAAAAGTAGATGTGAGGAATCAATGACAAGCAGGAGCCAAGGCTGATCTTTTCTGAAGGCTGCCTACTTGAAAGACATTTCTAGGGGTGCCAGTGT